TGACCAAGGCAGGTGTAAATGTCCACCTGTCCCAAAGTGTTTGTGACAATGCGAGTACAATTTCAGTACCTAAAACTAGTGTCAGAACAAAGATTAGTTATGAAATTACAAGAACTTCTATAAATTGTAATTATTAGAACATAAAAAATTTTATAAAATAATATGAAAAATGGAAAAAAGATATATTCGCAACACTTCTGCAAGCGGGAGCGCTCCAAAGTTGCTGCCAGGTGATCTCCAAGTGCCAACTTTTGCGGCCTCATATCTCGGTAATAACTGACCCAAAAAAAAAAAAATTTTATCCGTAGCACTTAGAAAAATGTGTTTTTTTTTTTTAATAAAAAAAAAAAACAATTTTTTTTATTTTTCAAAGTATTCGGGGCACTGGGGTAGTGAACGTATATATACGTTCGGGACCGTTTACGGGTTAAACTACATCGCCACTTCTCCGACCCACTAAATAGTCTATTCAAATCTTCAAGGAGTACTCTAGTGACCTCATTAGAATAAATTAGGTGCCCTATTTTGGTGTCATCAGCAAACTTGCTTATGTTGCTATTTATTCCCTCATCAATGTCTTTTTAATAAATTGTGAACAACAAAGGGCCCAACACTGACCCCTGTTTGGAACACCACTTGTGATGCACCCCCACTCTGATTTCTTCCCATTGATGCAGCCCTATGCTGCCTATCTGTCAACCACAACCTTTTTTCCAGGGAAAAAAATTTCCCTGTGCCTTAATTTTCCACAGTAGCCTTTAATGTGGAACTCTATCAAAAGCCTTACTAAAGTCCATATACACAATAATCATACTCATCACCATGATCTACCTCCTCAAATACCTTGGTGAAAAAAGTTAGTAAATTTGCAGGGCAGGAACACCCCTTTGTAAAACCATGCTGGATTCATTAATCAATTTTTGCATTTTGAGATGGCTACGAATTGCCTCAGCAATTATTGATTCCAAAAATTTTCCCACTACGGAGGTAAGGTCTATAGTTTGAAGCTAAGGAAACCCGTCTCCTGCTTTGTTAACCCTTTGACTTGTTTTAGGGCCCTCTCTGAAACTGTCATATTTTATGTCGCCAAATATTCGAAAAAAAAAAAAAATTAATTTTTCTTATGAAAAAAGTTAGGAATATTTTTACTAGTGTTTTTAAGCCTAAAAAAAAATTTTTGCCATCAGTACTTACCGAGATATAGAGCCGCAAAATTTGCAGAAATTGACGTGTGTACGGCCAACAGCGGCGGACTGCCGCCCACCCGGTATTCTTTTATTACTCTAATTCAAAGGTTTCTTGCATTTTTCAATATTTTTCCCTTTTCCAGGTAACTTATGTGGCCTGTGAGAAACCCAAAGTAAGGTGCATTGTTCAAATATACACTCATTGTTTACAACACAATAACAGAACAAACTTTTATCACTATTAGTTTGTGTATACACTTTGTTTACAAAAAACAACAATACAAAACAATGTTTATTACTATTGTTCCCTAATATTAAAAAACTATTACAGTCACTAACCAACCCAAAA